CTTGGTGACTGGTGTCTGAGCAGAATGTCAATTATCAATTAAAGGAGACAAGCTCCACAAAAACGAACTTTTATCCTTTGGAGATAGTGTGAAAAACTATTAGGCTATTTAGCGAATTAGGTATATGGTATATTTTTAATATTGTCTATTCTACTTGTATATATATATATACAGATGAAGATTTTGCCGGGAGGAAATTGATCCAAAGAGACAAGGGTCGCCTCTCCCGTCAAACTCCATCTGTATTTTAGCCATAGATATGGCTCAGCCACTTTGCCAGCTAAACACCTTTTTGGCAGATTGTCAAGATTCCATTAGATCCCGTATGGATCTCATGAAATAAAGTCCGCCCCAGACTGACGAGGGCCATTAGCCCGAAACCATGGTCTCTAGGTGGACGCTTTTCAGTTTGCCAAAGCTGGTGTTGTGGCTTTGTCACCGATCCGAGGCCGCTAGTTGCGGCGACGGTCAATAGATGGCGTCTGGTTTTAGACGTCAATTTTAACGGGAGAGGCGACCCTTGTCTCTTTGGATATATATATCTTATATAAAGATAAAGAGATTATTTTCTGCTTAAATTTAGATCATGTTGAGGATTATGATAATGTAAGTTATTTGCTGGTTCTTTTTTAGGACTAAATGGTATTGGTGATGCAGTCGTGGCTAAAATCTTGAAAGTATAATAACAAAAATGGTTTTGATCAGAGATTGTTTTATTTGAGCTAAATTAATATATAAGAACATAATTTGATTAAAGTACTGCCTGGCTTAAGGCGTAAGAATAAAAAAATGAAAAGCTTATTTACATAATGTACAAATGTTTTGAGCCGACCAACGTGAAACAACAACAATCGGTTTTATATAGGGTAAGCGTGACCTCTGGCGGTCGATTTAACAGAATATTTGTATCTATGAAATATATTTTTAAATAAAATAATATTTTAATATAACATTTTAAATAATACCTTTATATAACATATATATATCAACATAAAGTTGCGGGAGGATTATATTCATGTACCTAGAGAGGCATCTCTTCCTTTTTAATTATGCATCAGAACGATGACACTATTACATCACCCCAGTAAAAAACTTTACTAGTGATGATAAAGAATGAGCCACAACTGTACTGATGAGGGTCAAAGTCCGAAACCATGGTATACAGGTTGGATTTTTGTCTGAATTTTATAAAACTGGTGTTGTGGCTCATTTTTTATTAGCACTAGTAAAGTTTTTTTTTAACTAGAGTGATGCAAAGTGTCATCGTTCTGATGCGCAATTAAAGGGAGAGATGCCTCTCTAGGTACACACATATGGTACAGAATGTACAGAATTGGCACAGAACACTACTAACCAATGTTCTTTAATAAAAGGAACTGCTTGTTCTCAATTGCTTGTATATAAGTTTATACCAAGTTCTTTTTTTTTTATTCTTTCCCTTTATTTGATATATTATAAATAACATTGCAGTTTATTGTTACTATTACTGTTGTGGGGGGTCGGTGGAAGGCTGGTTAAACCGTTTGGTTTTCGACCACTACGACCCGGGTTCGATTCCCGCATTGGACACTTTTTTCTGTTAAAAAAATATGCTCTAATGGCCCCCCGATTCTTGCAAAAGTCCAACCCCACCAGCGAGTGCAAGTAACCAAACGGGGGGCTCTGGCACATTTGTAAGTGCAAAGTCGAACTGCTTTTCACATGTGTAGACATGTGGTGCGTTTACAGTAAAAGCAGTCGCTAACTACCCACCATGATTATCATGGCCTGTACCACGTGTACTAGGGATAAGCAAAAAAAATTACTGTTATTCCTGTATATATACCCTATTTTACTCAGAGAATCTGTATAAGACCAAAACGTCTTAAGGCTTTTGATGTTGTTGTATATAGATAACGCTCTGTAGCAACAAAAAATGTGTGCATAGGAATCTAGAACAGATTGATATTGTATTTGGGTCGTTGAATCTAAATTTGAAATCAGTTTTTTCTATATTAGCTCTATTCTTTGAGATCAGTGTTTTTTTAAATGCAGTTCTACACAAAATATGAATTTTAACCTCAATTTTTATGCAGTTCTAAATCACATCTATATATATAAAAATGAATGTTTTTATGTTTGTTTGTATGTCCGGTATACAAATTCGCAGTAGTTCACTAATTCAAACCAAAATGTCCATACATAGGTAAAAAATACGGGGAAGACGATAGGCTATTTTAAAAAATATATAAATCAATTATTAAAACTATATATTTTTAGTCAGAAAATGATGATGACGATATTGCTGTATTATGTTTGATTATCAGATACAAAATTATATCGGGAAAAATTCCAAAAAGAAGAGACCACGGGTGAAACCAGTTCATTATTTTGTACGCAGGAACAAAATTCTAACAGAAAAACATTCATTCGAGCAGAAAACAAAAGCCAGATCATCTTTCTATAAAAATATCGTTTCTCAGACACAAAGTTTGGAGCAGGAGGTTTCACAAGAGTGACATCCACGGCGCCAATTTATAATTGTAACGAATAGTATTTGAATAAAAACATTTAATCGGGTAAAACCCGGGCATTGCCCGGGTCATTCGGCTAGTATAAAAGTATTGGTTCCTGTAAACGTGACTGTTAAAAGATCTAAAGAGGAGCAAGGGCTCTCGAGAAATGATGAATGTAAATATATGTATATGTGACGGCCCAATTGGCAGTCTGCCGTCTCGCGTTAGTTGTCCAGAAAATTCCAATAGATGGCGTTGTCTTTCTGGCAACTGAATTGACCTTCAACGCTTCAACTAGAGGTTAGTTTTTAGGAATACATGCAATGTGAAATATAAAAATAAAAATATTCATAAAGGTCTCAACAAAATTATTATTCAGAAATTTTTGTTTTTGAAATGTATATGTAATTATGTAAATATTATATGAAAATATTCTGTTTACTTTGCATATTCTGTGAAATCATTATGGATTCAAAAAAAAAAAAACTTTTATCTATAGTCACTTGTGTATATCATATTTAGAAATTGTGTATTTATGTTATTGAATGGTAAAAAATGAGTTCAATTAGAAGAAATTGTGTAAATAATCCTGATAGGTTTTAAAATAAAAACATAAATCCTCCAGGGAAAAGATTCTTTTAAAAATATTTTTATTTAAAAATATCTCGAGCTTTCGGGCAAGTAATCCCTTCTACGGGAGAAACTATTTTACATCCTTAATACGCCAATAAAATAATATTTAAACTTAAATAAAGTCCTTTAGTTGTTTACATCTGTTTTGAGGCATAATCAACGCGAGCTTCTATTGCGCGTGCTTCACTTGGAGGTTATGGGGTGGGCTCAGGAAATATAATGTTATAAACTTCCGGGATATCTATTCTTCTGTTAATACTATTGTGCTTTCTGGATATGATGGATTCTATGATAAGTCTCTGTAGTCTATTGGGGATGTTGGAGTAATGGGTCTTTGGTTCTGATAGGGAGAAGGAATGGCCTGTTTCTCTTATATGTTGGTATACTAAAGATCTACTGTCTTGATTATCGATATTTCGCTTATGTTATGATATTCTTATATTTAAATGTCTGCCAGTTTCGCCAACATATTTGGTTTTGCATTCGTTGCATTCTATGGAATATATGGCATTCTTAATATTGGAAGGATAATCAACGGTATTGTTCTTTGTTATGGGGTTTCTTAGTAACGAATTTAAATTAGGTGAGTTGTGTGCTGAAAAATGTTTTGATCCCAAATTTCTTCAGATGACGGGCTATAGAAACAGATACTGTTGAATAAGGAATACTGCTAATAGATTTATAGATTGGGGAATTCCGAATTTCAGAGGGGCTATAGAAATTTCTTAGAATAAACGATAAAGGATATTGACAAGTCTTTAGATTTCTTAATATATTCTGAGTTTCTTCTGTTTTAAAGGTTTGAAGTGAGCAGTGGCTATGGATACGTTTAGTTAAGGTCTTTACGGTATTGATTTTATGGCTGAGAGGGCAGTTGGAGGAAAAACGGATATAGTCGGGGTTGAAGGATGGCTTATAATAAACAGTTGTTTGGAATTGATTCTGTATGCGAAAAATTGTTATATCTAGAAAAGGCAGGCTATTATTTGTTTCTTTTTCAAATGTGAAATTTAGGTTAGGATGGTAACTGTTGAGTCTTTCTAGAATGATCTTGGTTTGATTTTCGGGGCATATACAGAATATGTCGTCAATATATCGACGCCATAAAATTATATCTAAGGGAATAGGGAGGTTATCCAATTGTCTATGCGACGCATGACAATTTCGGCGACTGAGGTTGAAAGAGAGCACCCCATGGGAGAACCTTTAATCTGTTCGTAAGTTTTGCAATCGTATGTTAGGATATTTGTTTCGAGGCATAGGGCTAAAAGTTTAGTTACTTATTACTTAGCATATACTTAGCAACCCTCATGAGAACCGACTGATTAAAGAATTAAGAAACAAAAAAGAAATAATCATCACCCAATCAGATAAAGGCGGTAAAACAGTGATTCTGGACAAAACTGATTACCATAGTAAAATGCTGAGCATCCTTGAAGATCAAACTACCTTCAAACACATTTCCACAGAAGAAAAAATCCGAACATACTCTTCTTTAAAAAGGAACTCAGAAAAATGCATAAAGAACGTAATATTTCGAATGAAGAATTGAAAGACTTCTTGTCTAATATGCAAACCGATGCCTTCATATATGGCCTGCCTAAAATACATAAATCAAATGTCCCCTTAAGACCCATAGTGGCTTTTTACCATTCCCCAACAGCACCTCTCTCCAAGTTCATCTCAACTTTTCTCAAACCCATAATCAAGCAGCAAAACTCCCCGTTCTCCATTTCCAACACCACCACCTTCATATAGTTGATATAATAATATATATTTATCTACTTATATAATTGCCTTATTCTGTCTGTGTGAAGTTCACTGTGTGAGTTAACGGATAGATTTTGGTCAGAATGGATAAAATAAAAAAAGTGTCAAGGGATGGGAATCGAACCCACGACCTTCCGCTTACCGGGCAGATGCCATGACCACCTTCATAGAAGAAATACTCAAGCACCAACCCCAACCAAACAAGATCATGATCTCATTCAACGTAGAATCCCTTTACCCAAGTCTCCCACACCAGTTGATACTAAGCAGCACCGAAGAATTCATGAAAGAAAATCAGGTTGATCAGATCACTGTCAGGAAAGTAACTAAACTTATAGCCCTATGCCTCGAAACAAATATCCTAACATATGATTGCAAAACTTACGAACAGATTAAAGGTTCTCCCATGGGGAGCTCTCTTTCAACCTCAGTCGCCGAAATTGTCATGCGTCGCATAGACAATTGGATAACCTCCCTATTCCCGTCAGATATAATTTTATGGCGTCGATATATTGACGACATATTCTGTATATGCCCCGAAAATCAAACCAAGATCATTCTAGAGAGACTCAACAGTTACCATCCTTACCTAAATTTCACATTTGAAAAAGAAACAAACAATAGCCTGCCTTTTCTAGATATAAAAATTATTCGCAAACAGAATCAATTCCAAACAACTGTTTATTATAAGCCATCCTTCAACCCCGAATATATCCGTTTTTCCTCCTACTGCCCACTCAGCCATAAAATCAATACCGTAAAGACCTTAACTAAACGTATCCATAGCCATTGTTCACTTCAAACTTTTAAAACAGAAGAAACTCAGAATATATTAAGAAATCTAAAGACTTGTCAATATCCTTTATCGTTTATTCTAAGACATTTCTATAGCCCTTCTGAAATTCGGAATTCCCCAATCTATAAATCTATTAGCAGTATTCCTTATTCAACAGTATCTGTTTCTATAGCCCGTCATCTGAAGAAATTTGGGATCAAAACATTTTTCAGCACACAACTCACCTAATTTAAATTCGTTACTAAGAAACCCCATAACAAAGAACAATACCGTTGATTATCCTTCCAATATTAAGAATGCCATATATTCCATAGAATGCAACGAATGCAAAACCAAATATGTTGGCGAAACTGGCAGACATTTAAATATAAGAATATCATAACATAAGCGAAATATCGATAATCAAGACAGTAGATCTTTAGTATACCAACATATAAGAGAAACAGGCCATTCCTTCTCCCTATCAGAACCAAAGACCCATTACTCCAACATCCCCAATAGACTACAGAGACTTATCATAGAATCCATCATATCCAGAAAGCACAATAGTATTAACAGAAGAATAGATATCCCGGAAGTTTATAAAATTATATTTCCTGAGCCCACCCCATAACCTCCAAGTGAAGCACGCGCAATAGAAGCTCGCGTTGATTATGCCTCAAAACAGATGTATACAACTAAAGGACTTTATTTAAGTTTAAATATTATTTTATTGGCGTATATTAAGGATGTAAAATAGTTTCTCCCGTAGAAGGGATTACTTGCCCGAAAGCTCGAGATATTTTTTAAATAAAAATATTTTTAAAAGAATCTTTTCCCTGGAGGATTTATGTTTTTATTTTAATATTGATTCAAGGGATTGTTTTTATCGAATCCTGATAGGTTTTGTTACATATGCGAAGAATACATGTTACAAGAAAAAATAAAACTGTTAGTAATTTGTAAAAAGAGCTCATCTTGGATACTTTGGTGCTAATCTTGGCGATCAAGATAAAACCTAGACAACTCTTCAGGTCTGCAAAACGTGTACAGGACACTAACTAAAGTGGACTTTCGGAAGAAGAAAAAGTCTGAAATTCAACATACCGATGTTTGGAAGGAACCGATAAACCACTTCTCTCTTTTTTAACCTTATATAACCTTATATATACGATTTAATAAAGTAGTTTCAATCTCAATCTCTCTCTCTCTATCGATGATTGTTGTTTCTTCCTAGTAAATGTTACCAGTATCAATCGAAACAATCGTAGCAAGTGGACTTATCCTGATTTATTCTCTGCAAGACGCCCGGTTCCTCACTTAGAGGAAGTCCGGTCCCAATGTTTCACCAGCTTCCAGGTCTCTGTGGAGTCCCTCTGTGATCACGATTCTAATACTAACGAAGGTGATTGTGAGGGGATGTCATCAGTTCCTCAACGTTTCAACCAGGAGATCTCAACCTGTCAAAAAGCAACTGAATCACTTGCTTCCAGGTTGAAGAAAAAATGCACTGAAACAAGTAACTAAAATTAGATTATATATACAGTAAAAGAGACAAGGATCTGCTACCCTTCTTCTCTCAGCATAGAATCTTGTACTTTGTAGAGAAATGAGAGGACTCGTGGAAAAAATGGGTCTTCTTGAATATTTTCCAGATGATTGACGCCTGTTTATTGAGAGCTCAAAGCGAAGTTTGAAATGTGTGATTCTACACAATGGGAACAATTTTGGCTCAATACCGATTTCTCACTCAACGAAAATGAAAGAAGAAGATAACACCATAGCTTTCGTCTTGTGGAGAAGATAGATTATCATGAACATCAATTGGTGATTTGTGTAGACCTAAAAACAGTTAACTTTCTTTTCTGGACAGCAAAGTGCAAGCTAAGTGCATTGTTTAAATGCATTTTAAAAGGGAGAAGTATCACTATTTTGGCACACATATATACATTGAAAAATAAAAGGGAACGCAAAATATTAAAATCAGAAGAAGGTCACGTAAAAACATGAAAAATATGCTGTTCAAATTAGCATTTCTAAACAGGTATATATAATTTTTTTTAAGCTGACTATTTTTCTTTTTTTTTTTTTTAATTATTATTTTCACACAAACATATGTATATATCTGTACCAAAAGTGGCACCATTCCCTTTAAAATGCATTAAAACAATACATTTTTAAACCTACCCAGTGTAAAACGTAATGGTGGTGATAATATAGAAGCCAGAACAAGCTATAACTGTATAAACATTTATAAATACATTTTATAGTGCACGAAAATCTTCTTTTTTAAAATGGAACACCCTCAATATAAATGAAAATCTTCACGCAGAGGCTCTTTTCGGAAGTAACGCTTCATAGATGCGAAGCATAAACATTTTCTTCACACATTTATATTAGAATATATAGAATCACTTTTATATATAGAAAAAGTGCGTAGCTTCAAAATAATTTTTTTGTTTTATTTCAATTGGTGAACAATGATAACCGAATTGTGCTTGTGGTCAAGTCAAAAACGATTAAATATATTTTATATAAAATAATATATATATACAATTTTAGTTGGGGCTTTGTGCCAATCGCTGATGTTGATCAAACTAGAATGCTATAATTGTATTTAATGTCGCTTTGGTTAAAAATAAGAATCCTGCCAAAGGAGACGATGGGCCACGAAGGTTTGGGAATCTATAGACAAATTACTCGACTACGCTAGGTTATGCTGATAAAAAGGAATATGCAAATTGGACCGTTATACACTCATGGAAAAATTTAAGGAAGTGCAAAGTCTTCGATGTCTCCGGTCGACTGTTTTTTTTTTTTTTTTTTTGAAGAGACAAAGATAATTTATGTTCAAACTTGGTTATCTCGTGTGTCTTCAATAAAAGTCACTGTATATCAAATATCTTTCAAAGTTATTGTTTAAATTTCCGATATACATTTTAAAAGGCACAACTTCCTTAAGTTTTGTCTATGAGTGTATTTTGGAAACGTATGCGGAACAAACGGAATATGCAAATTACCAGTTATCGTATGAATAATACTTAACTCATCTGGTGTTAATTTTTCTGCGGGATAGGTAAAATATTGTGTATGCAGTACAACGTATGCAGAACAAACTAAAACAAACCTTATTTTTTAGATTTTGGTTTTTGTAATATAAGGCAAAAGATACGAGTCTTCCTTTTTCATAAATACATTTCTGACTGTGTAATATTGATTCTGCCCTTTCGTGTCGCGCGGTGCATGAGTAATAATAATATAGCACTGTATGTCGTTTTGCAAAAAAAAAAGGAACATTTATTTAATAACATAATTAATGCTTTGTAAAATGTTTTAATTTTTGATCGCTCCTGACGAGGAAAAAAGATTTTTGTCGAAACGTCGAGACAATAAAAAAGATTTACTGGCCGAAGTATCTTTAATTTGAAGAACTATGAATGCCGGCCAGGCAGCCTCTATCTTTACGATAATTATTCAAAGCGTTACTCTGTGTTAGAGAGGGAGAAAAAAGAGAAAGGCAAAACCCGGGTTCCAGGAGCGCCAAACGCCAGCTACCCGGTCTTTTGTATGCTATCATGACATACACTTGAGTGGAGAGAGAAAGAACCCTGCGGAATAATTTTTTCAGGGATATTATTGTTCAAAACTTTGGTTATTTAGTTTTAGGGGGTAAGGAAATGAACAATGATATTGAATTTTTATACTAAAATTATTATTCAAGCACAACACGTAGTGCCATCTATCAGTATAAAAAATGAATTGATCATAATTAACCAGTTCCGAAAATGATGATAAGCGATGTTAAATGTATTTTGAAATTTAAAAAAACAATTTGCGCTGGTATTTTGTTTGATTTTAAAAAGACAACCCTTGACACTCATAATATATTTTCCATCATACTGTTACACCGCTACCGCCGTGTCAGAGATAGCCAACATGAAACGCGGGATCGGTCAAGGATCTCTATTTGCACGCGCGACTCCTCTTATCTTCGTTCATTATGGAGAACAAAGCAAGTAACATAACGAGAGCACCATCCAACAACCACCGTCAAAAACAAGGAAAAACGACCTCACCCTTGACCGTCAGCTGCGCTTCTTCCATGTTGACTGATTCCCTCCGCCCCTTCAGCTCGTCTTGTAGATGAACACGTGTGGTCGAACCGACCCTGCTTGCCACCACGTCGTTTGTCGAAGTTTTCTTTCTTTCATCGCCGTAGCAATACGTTTAGGTACAAAAGGTATAGGACGCCGCGACTCATTTTATTAAGTGTATAAAGTAGCTTTCGGGCAAACTGTTGGATCGTTTTTGAAGACAACTCTCAGATTTATAAATTTATTTTATTAAACATTTTTAGATATACATATATAGAGAGAAACGAGTTAATATATCGTATTTAAGGCAACAAAAGATTCATCTAAT